GGCCGGACACATTAGGGATAATTAGAGGAGATTTTGTTGTTCCAAATTCAAATAGGAGATAGAGATTTGATTCTGTTTTGAAGTTTGACTTCTACTCTTTAAATATGAGAATGATAAAAAATTGTGGACACAATTTTTGAAACAATTTTTCAGCCCTAATTGAGTGGTGGCCGAATTTTCTTAAAGGAAAAGAGAAGAAAAATTTTTTCTCCCAAAAATTCCACATCGTGCATGCGTTGGTGTTTGTGGAAATTCGAGTGTTATTGAAACCTGTTTTGTCTCACGTGTGCCCACACACACGTCTACGTGGAATCAAGGAATCGACGTGGAAGACTTTGGTTTTCTAAACACAAAGCTTAGAGCAAGGACTGTTCGTGGACAAAGAACTCAAGTTATCATCCGAGTCGGCGTCCAGGTATTTTTCCCTGATTGAGTTCTTGATATATATAAATTAATGTGATTAATTTATTCGTGCATAAATTAATATAATCTGTAGAGTATCTCAAAAGTTTTTCTGAAATTTTTATTATACACGATCCGTCTCCCCGCCACGCTTCCGCATCCGAATTCGATTCGGTTTCCAACAGTAGTATCAACGTTAAAAATTTGAGTAGTGCGATGCAAAACTGCTCCGAATCATATATCAGACTGTTAACAAGCCACGAAACATAATTCAGAACTATTCTCGATTTACGTGTATTTTTTATGAGAGAAAATATCAAACCATGATCTAAACCATGACACAAATCTACCAACCAAACGTACACTAAAAAATTAATCCAATAGTCAAAATAGAAGTACCTATAGATAGGATAAAGAGTTTTTTGCATGGAACGCCAACAACTTTTTGAGTTTGGTAGATTGAGATTGGTCCCTAAACTTTTTTTTTGGACAATTAGCTTCTGTAACTTTAAAATTGTTTGCAATTGTGGTCCAATTGAAAATACCGTTAGTTTTTTAAACCGTTTGGCCCATGTTCGACTCACATGACCCACTAATGAGGGTAATGAGCGTCTTTTCACTTCCACATTATATCCATTTTCAACGAACAACAAACCCAAATGAAGGAACTTTGAGATTTTAGGCTAGGGATTTTGGTTTGTTCAAAAATGAGTGTCAACAGCAGCAACTCCACCATATTTTCTCTACTCATAACCAAAAAGAGTAGAGAAAATAAAGCTATTTCAATTCTCCTTTTTTTTTGGGTTTCTAGTTGAAAATGGGCATCGAAAAAGACGCTAATTACCTTCGATAGTAGATCACGTGAGTCGCACATGAACCAAATAGTCTAAAAAACTAATGGCATTTTTAATTGGACCATAATTGTAAAAAAAATTTAAAGTTGTAAGAGTCAATTACCCATAAAATAAAAAAGTTTAGAGACGAATCTGTCAAATTCAAAAAATTGAGGGAGATTTCATGCAAAAAAGCCTGAGATAAAAATAGTGAGTTTCTACCGTAAGTTTTGACAGGAAAAAAATTTAATAAATTACAAAATATCCCTGGAACCCCTTTTGCGTATTTGGTTGAAGCACCAAAGCGTCGAAGGAGCGTGGAAAGTGCAGTTTATACAAAATAGACCATTACGTAGCAACATCAACGTGAGGAGTCATCAGTCGTATTCGCTAAATTCCTAAAACCGTGTGGTATGAGTCGTTTATGTATCTGGAAATAGCACATTTTTTTAAATAAACATAATAGTAACAAAACTAAAAAATAAAAAAGGATGTTTTTCATTTTTAAATTTATAAAAGTCCGTCTTCTCCGCTTCAATGAAACGCGTCAGCCGTCGCTCACGCTCACATATGAAAAGCTCCAATTGCATTTTTGCGCCGCAGAAAAATGATTTCAACTCTCCTTTGAGGCGCGTTTCTTTGACGCTCTTATTAAATTTTCAGGGATTTAAGTTGTGATTGAGGTGCTGTGTGGGCGTCCTCACTGCACTGTTGGTGGACTTTAGGGTTTGTTTTTTAAGTGAAAAATTTTAAAAAAAGTAATTCGAGTTTATATTTTTTTAAGTTTAAACTCGAGTTTAAATTCGAGTTTAAGACTAAAACTCGAGTTCAGAAACTCGAACTCAAATTAATGAACAGTATTTTTTCTATTCTTAAAAATACTATAACTTTTTTGTTTTAATTCTGATTGAGATGATTTTTTTTTCTATGCGTTGACAATGAAAAGACGAATAAAACCTGACCCATATACCCTATTAAAATTTTTCATCAGCATTAAATTTTTATTAAAATACTATCTAAATACAAATTCAAGTTTTGACTCACTCAAAGACAAACTCAAAAAGATTCTTATCTCAAACCATAACTCAAATGTATACAACCAAACAAAAACTCAAGTTATAAGTTCAACTCAAGTTATAACTCAAATTTAACTAAAGAATTATACTCAAGTTAAACTCCAAAAGAACAGACCCTTAGTTTCTCTTTTTACTTTTATTTATGTTTTCTTAATGGAGCTTTTCTTTTGTCTGAGAACATACCCAATGAGATAATGGTACAGCAATTTTTTTGTTGTTAAGCGAAATTACAAAACGTAGGTTCGTTTGGTGAGTGGGTTTAGATTGAACTTGGTGTGAGATTTTGTGGAGTTTGAATATAAATTCATACCTTAAGAATAGGGCCGGCAATTTCAGAAACGACACGATTAAACGATACGAAAATGACACGAAATAAATAAGTTTGGACCGCACGATTATTAATTTGGTCGTTAACGGGCTAACACGAATAACATGAAAATAAATGGACTGGATTCGTGCCAGCCTGTTTAACGCGCATAACCCGTTTAGTTATACGGGCCGACACTGTCCGGCCCGGCCTGACCTGTTGATTAAGCCTATATATATATATATATATTAGACAAAACCCTACTTCTGACTCAGTCTCTGAAAACTAATTTTGATTTTTAGAGCGTAGTTGGACATTCAACCTCAAGGCTCAAAGAAGACATTTTCCTAAATTTATTTTATGTTTTATGCACTTAAACATTCAAATGTTTGGTTATGTTTTCAAACTTATTTAAATGTACTTGGTTATGTTTTCAAACTTCTTTGGATGTTTGATAATTGGTATGTTTTGAAACATATATACTTGATAATCTAGTAGTATCATATATATGAGTGTGTTTGATATTTAGACATTTTAATGTGTGTTGGCTATTATGCATGATTTTGTATTAAGTAGTCAATTAATATAGTTTTGAATACAATATAAAATTCTACTATTTTTGCTAGTTGGGTCATAAACGGGTCATAAACGTGTTTTTTTCGTGTTAGCCCGTCACGGTACGTTTAATAATTGTGTTTGCGTGCCGTATCGTATTAACCGTGTTATTAGCGTTTCGTGTTTAGGTTTCTGACACGTTTATATATCGTGTCGTGTTTGTGTTCACTATAATCGTGTCGTGTTGTAATCGTGCTGGCTCGAACATGACACGTAAACACGAATTGCTAGCCCTACTTAAGAACTCAAAGGCAACTTAGATTTTAAAATCCTTTTATTTTTTAAAAACCTCATAAATTAAACGTAAACTTTTTTTATTTTTTGTAAAACAAACGCGGGTTTATTGTTCAAATCCTTTGAATCCGAACTTAAGTTCAAACCCTTAGAACTTTCCAACCAAACAACCTTGTAATTATTGGCAGGATTTGGAACCAAAACCTTATGATTACATGAGGAAACAAAAAAAAAAAAAAAGAAACTCACAACTAGTTGGAGATCATTTATTTTTTTCTTAATAGAAATTTCACGGACGATATTTTGATCATTATTGGTGAAAAGGGTTCCTATATTTTGCGAACAAAACATAAGTTTCGAGTTATATTCATTTATGAGATCTATGGGTGGACAACATTCTTATTTTTTGAGAAGAAAAAAAAATCATTTTATTTAAAAGTCCCAACTCTTTTCTACATAAAATAAAATTGTTGTTCAACATGAAAGATTGTCATTGTTCAATTAACACGTCTTGTACTTGCCTACAGGGTCAAATACACTTTATTATTTGTTTGTTGATAATAATTACGAATGATTCTGAAATAAAAAAGAAATTACTATACACTAAATTGTGTTTCTCCTTCAATCTATAAAATATAAAACTACAACTCAAATAATTTTGTTTCTTTTAACTTTGCGTGAAAAATTCGAAAAATATGGGGCTGTCGGCAGCCCTTTTTTGAGTTAAAAATTTAAAAAAGTAACTCGAGTTACAATTTTATTTAAATTCATGTTCTTTTAAGTTTGAACTCGAATTTAAGACTAAAACTTGAATTCAACCTTCAACTCGAGTTCAGAAACTCGAACTCAAATTAATGAACAATATTTTTTCTATTCTTAAAAATGCTATAACTCCTTTGTTTTAATTCTGATTGAGATGATTTTTTTTATACGTTCACAACGAAAAGACGAATAAAACCCCACCCATATGCCCTATTAAAATTTTTCATAAGCATTGAGTTATTATTAAAATACTATCTAAATACAAATTCAAGTTTTAACTCACTCAAACACAAACTCAAAAAGATTATTATCACAAACCATAACTCAAATATACACAACTAAACACAAACTCAAATTACAACTTCAACTCAAGTTATAACTCAAACTCAATTTAAAATTTACACTCAAATCACCTAACTCAAAAACGTCAAAAGAACGGTCCCATGAATTTTAAAGTGAGTGTGGAATTACTGTTAAGCAAGTCAAAGAAAATTTTAATAAAAAGTGAAAAACTTCAAATACAAAAACAAACAATGGCTGGCAGGTTTCCAATTGACTTGTGGAGTTTCTAATAAAGCATGCTCACACTCGTATGCTACCACAATCTTCATCTCAGTTGAAAAACGAAAAGTCATTGTCAACCTCAACCCCTAAGCAAATATATTTATGCGCGTTAGGCTGTCAATCAACTTGGCAAGATCGGAATACAGGGGGGGCACGCGCGCGCACACGCACACCACCCACCTATATATATACACAAACTGAGTAAAGTTGGTTTCTTATCCTCTCTCTCTCTCTCTCTCTCACACACATTTCATTCCCTCTCTTTCTCTATCTTAATCCAAACTCTCAGAGGGCGTTTTCCCACGGATCGCTCGCTGCCCATTTTTAGATTTGCGGATATAAATTCGGTATTTCAACTTGGGTTATCGGGGAAATCCCTCCTTCTTCGCACGACTAGCGCAAATCAAAAATTCTGTTTTGGTGGAGGCAATTAGGATATGGGTCTCATTATGTCTAAAAATATTGCTAATTTCATTCTCTCTTCTTTCTACCACGAGAAACTCTGTGGGAAACTAATTCCCGTTCAAATCGAGAACATGGTCTCCATGGTTTCTCGCTCGGGAAGGCATTTGCAGCGCTATGACGAGGGTTGTCGCCAAGTCGTTGGGTATATTTCCTTTTTTTTTTTTGTTCTTTTTCTCTCTCTCCTTTTTTTTTTCCTTTTCAAAACTTCTTTTCTCTGACTATTTGAAGATTTTTTGTTTTAAATCTTCCGGGCTTTGTTAATTTTGAAGTGGGTATCTGTTAGATTATGATCTAATTTCAAATTTTGTTGAATTTTTCAACATGGTTTTTCTTTTGGGTAGGGAAAATAATTATAGTGATGTTTTACTCTTTTTTTTTTCAGTTTTAGACCAAAAAAAAAAAAGTTCTAACTGTGTGAATTATTGAAATTATGCAGATGCATACCGTACAGATACACCAAAACCGATGAATTTTCGTCGGTGGAGGAATTAGAAGTCCTTGTTATAAGTTCCCAAAAGGGGCAAGGAATGATGTTCCCAAAGGGAGGTTGGGAAGTTGATGAATCCATGGAAGATGCTGCTTTAAGAGAGACGCTAGAGGAAGCCGGTGTAAGAGGCATAGTTGAGGTTAGTTTAGTATATATTGCAAAATAACCATTTTCTTATTCTTCTTTAAAACTTTTTATCCAAATTAGTTTTTATTAGGCTATTTTTCTGAGTCGCTTGTCGGGTTTGTCTTATCTACTTTGCAGCGTAGGTTGGGTAAATGGCGTTACAAGAGCAAAAGAGGTGGCATACTTCATGAGGGTTACATGTTTCCTATGCGTGTTCAGGAGCAATTAGACTTATGGCCTGAAAAGGACTTAAGAAAACGCAGATGGGTATGTATATATGAAAACATTAAAATTTTGTTTTCCTGATTTGGCTGCAAACATGTTTACCATGTTGTTGGAGAATTCTTTGGTAGATTGAATACTTTAGTTTCAAAAACGTATTGTTTCAAAGCCTCTTTTTTTCTTTTTCATTTTTGGTTCTGTGTAAATATTGTATATTCTAAATGGCGGTTTGGTATTTTGTTTGCAGATGTCTGTTGCTCAAGCTAGAGAAGTATGTCAACATTTGTGGATGAAGGAAGCCTTAGATGAATTAGTTCGTAGACAAACGCAGCTTAAACAAAAGGAAGAGAAGGACGAAACAACAACATGTACATAAAAACGCTACTAAACGAAAGAAAAGCTTTCGGTTTTTTCGCTCTAAGGGGGCGACAAATTTGCGAAAGTAAATTGAGGGTCTTCGCGAGAACTCGAAACATAAGCGCCGGAGAGTCGAAGAGAAGATGGGGTTTTTTATGCCTTCACTAGCGTTGGTGGTTGCAACTCCATCTTCGGTTGTACAACTTGATTGGTGAAAACAGTTTAAGGTCTCGGAAGTAGAAACACCCTGCAGATGTACAAATTTTGATTCATTCTTTCTATTCAATTGATTGACTGTGATTCTTTTTTATGAATTTCTTTCTTTGTATTCTCTTTACAATTTCAAGCACGCCTTGCCTTGAGGAAGTTTGCTTAAAGAAATGCAGTTCCCAGCCAAGAAAAACGAGTGAAATAATGATAATAATTGGAATGAGCTTTCTACTAAACGTTAGATTTACTCAAAATCACGTTAAAATGAATAAAAAAAAAAACGGATTGCCGGCGGAAGTTGATATGAATTTTACAGTTTAAAAATATTTAGGTAGTTTTTCATATGGTGCCGTAGAATTCTCGTAATAAGAAATGCAGTTTCTCGTTAACCTTATCAACACATAACGGTATAAAAAAACGCAGTCTTTACACGATTATTTCGACTAATATACACAGCAGAACGCATTGAATTATATACGGCATTGAAGCATCATAAATCAACTTATAATGTGAATTCAACATTAGATCAATTGTTATTGCGACATCATTTAAGATGGCAAATTGATTATTTAAAATGGAAAAACTGATCGGCCATGTAATTAGAGTATGACTTGTGAACGATACTGGTGAAGTTAGGTCCAGTTTCTACGGGATATTACGCATGAAAAGAAATTGATAGTGATGGAGGATATTGAAAAAAGGAAGAAAAAAAAAAAGAGGATAAGTGGTGTCCTCAAACTTTCAATCTAATGACACCATGTTCATTTCATTGTTTGAATTAGTGCTGGAAATACAGGCAGCGGGCTTGTCCGAAGCCCGAAAATTTTCAGGCTTGGCGGGCAAGACCCTATGTCCGCCCGTCCAAGTTTCAGACCGGGTTTGGGCCCGGACAACACAAAAATCAACCAAAAAAAAGAAGCCCGCCGCGTTGCAAGCCATTGCCCGAAGCCTGCCGTATTGCCCGCCCGATTGTCTGCCGAGTGGCCCGCCTGAATACCCATCCGAGTGAAGTGTTTGATTTAGTACAAATTTAAAAATTAATAAACAAAACTAAGGCATCGTTTACTTCGCATATTCGAGTTTTCAATTCGAGCTGAGATGTGATATTTTATGAGAGCTTTTCACTGTAGCAGAAAAAATTAAATGTGACATTTTTCTGAGAACTTTTTACTGTAAAAACTTAAAACTGAAAACTCAAATCGGTGAAATGAACAAGACCTAATACTTTGAATTGTTTTAATAGTGTGTGTTAATTTTAATCTTAATTATAGTTTTTATATAATTTTTACAATAAATAACTTAATAATTATTTATGTACAAATACAATTAATAAACAATATTATATATAATATATATACACAATATTATACAAAACTAAAAATTATATAAATATATTTAATTTTCAAGCTTTTTCGGGCAAGCTCGGGCTGCCCGATCGGCTCGGGCAGCAAAAAAGGCCCGCGGCCCGTCCAAGGCAAAGCTCGGACTCGGGCAGGCAGCCCGAATTTCTAAGGCGGGCGGGCAGGTTCAGGTACCGGGCACAAGTTCGGTTTTTTCGGGTGGTCGCGGGCTGCCCGTCTAAAATTTCAACACTAGTTTGAATCATAACTCAAGTTTTAACTATAGTGTTTTCTCTCATAAAAATTCAAATTCAATGTTTTCTGTTATAGTAGTTTCTCTCACATGAATTCTTTTTTTTTTTTTAACTCAAGTTCTTAATTCAAATGAGCAAAATAAATGAGAATAAAATGCATAATTACAACCTCACAAGAGACATGATAAGATAGAGAGCCCTTACAGATCATTTTTTGGCGCTATGCCCCAAGTTTTAAAACAACTGTTAAACAATTATAATGTTAAAAGGAATTAGTTTGATGTACCCACTATTTCTCTATGAATTGAGACTTGACCAATGATATTCCACTTCTCTCTTTACATGAGTAGTGCGAAAAAAAAAATAATAATTTCAGTAAAAATGTTGGTTTTTCCATCATTTGGCTCTTCATTTAGAATAGACTAGCCTTATCTCCGCACGGTGCAGCGGTAATAATTTTATATTATGTAAAGAGCTAATAATTTTTATAACAGAATATTAATTTATATATACATATTTATACATGAACATGTCTTTATGATGTTGTTATAAGAGGTTATTTACAATGTCTTTGGGTTTCAAGTCTTCTTTGTTCTTTTCCTCACCCTTTTAGTTGCAAAACATAAATTTGGAAAAAAAAAAATTATTAATAGCAGACATTAATAAAATCTGGACAATAATTATTAACCGTACCTGTAATGCTATCAACATTATAAAAAAACTGCCTTAAGGGAGTAGCAGCCAAGCAAAGGCAGGTGAAAAGCATAGGACTTAAAAAACTGTGCAATAAATTGATATATGCATTTTTATATGTCTGGGACAAACTGAATAATATTCATGTCTGCATATATGTCTGTAATGAACTAAATAACATTAAAAATTTATATGACAACAAAAGTTTAAATTTACACTGCTATATAAAATTATGTACAAAATTAAATAATAAGATACAAATAATGAATAAATTAAATTTATCAACAAAAGCTATATTAGTGAATGAATTAAATATGCATATGCATATTTTGAGCTTCTTCCATCATAAATGAGCAAAGAAATTAAAAATTCACTGTAATAAGCCTTGCTGCACAAAGTTTATAAATAAAATGAAAAGCAGGAACATAACATCTATCAAAATGTGAATGAATTAGCAAGCGAAACAATACGGAACATAAAGTATGAAAAGTAGTTAGCAAAGTTGATAATATGTGAATAAATATGATCCTTGTACAATAATGGTGGCTTAGATATGGAATATGTTCATCAACGTAAGATAAATAAGTCAATTTATATAGCAAGCGAAAGAACCGGAAATAATGAGAAAATAAAGAGATAGGTGGTCAATATAATCTAATGCAGTAACAAATGAAGGAAAGTAGGGTAGTGAAGTGTAAATAAAGTAGTATTACAAAAAGATTACTGTTTAGATCAGTGTAAAAGAGGAAAGGACTAACGTTAGAAAAACAATATAGCTTGCAACGCATATTTTGCAACAAAGCATAGTTAAAACGAATAAACAGAATAAAATTGCAAAATGGGCTATCAAGGCAATAGCACCGGGGAAAAAAATGGAAGTGAATCAAGTGTGAATGATTTCTGAATGAGACGACAATACAAAAAAAAAATAGAGGTATTGGAATAAGCAAAGAGAAACAAATAGATTGTTAACAAATTTAAATTATAGAAGGAAATAGGGAGGGAAAAGACATTGAAATAAGTAAAAGAAGAGGACAAGTCAAAAATAGAAATGAATAGTGGGTACAATAAGAATAAAAAGAGTGATGATATATTAATAGCGGGATTTGGACACAATTTTCATATACAAATAAAATTCATATAGAAATGAATAAATAAATATAAATTTCCATGTCCTATAGTTGCTTTCTTCTCTAAAGACGAACAAACAAATTAAAAGTCTTCAATAAAACTTGATCATATATATTTTATTGGAGAAAAAGAAAGGAAGTTAAAAATAGTGGAAAATGTATATAAATAAATATGTAAATAAACCTATAAATTAAAGAAGGAAAAAAAATCAAAGGAAAAAGAAGTAATAAAATATAAACATAGTAATATTTTTATATAGTAATTGTAGCTCAAATATTCAATGATAACGGTAATATGTGACCGATATTTATAGTATTTTTGTGGTTGCCTATGTAACTGTTTTTAATGGAATTAAAAATGTTAATGGTAACTCACAAAAGCACCAAAATCAGCAAGATTTGATAGTGCTTATGTGGCTGCCTATGTAACTGTTATTAATAGAATTAATAACGTTAATGTTAACTACACAAAAGCACCAAAATCAGCAAGATATTATATCTGTCACATAATTTTATAATATTTATGTAGCACAGATTAAATGAGTTGAGTAAAATATGAAATTGTCCAAAAACTATCAAGTGACGTTAATGTTAACTACACAAAAGCACCAAAATCAGCAAGATATTATATCTGTCACATAATTTTATAATATTTATGTAGCACAGATTAAATGAGTTGAGTAAAATATGAAATTGTCCAAAACCTATCAAGTGAATTAAATAAGTAAAGAGAAAACAATCAAAAGGAAAAAAAAAAGATTAACAAAGTTGAAAAAATTAAAAAGAAAAAAATAAAGAACACATAAATAGGATAACAATAACAAAATATAAACGAAAACAGAATCTACTTGGTATAAAACTGAAGAAAGTTGTTAGATGAAATCAATAAACCAGACAGAACAAAGATATGAAAAAAGCAATGAAACCATGAAATAAAAAACTTAAGCCAAAAGTATATGTAGAAATGTTTGGGCAAAATAACAAACTAAAAGTTCTTGCGCAGGAAAGGAAGGAACAGGAAATGGAAGAAAGCAAACGACACTAAACTATACAATTCAAACCAAATAAACAAATTACGGGAAGAAATATCAAAAATCACAAATAAATCAAAACCATTGACAAACAAAGAGAAAGTCGTCCTTTTTTAAATGTGGACCAAAATGACCAAAAACCTGAAATCAATAACACATGAAGCAAATAAAAATTGAGAACAATGTTGTACAATCAATAGACAAAGTACTAAAAAAACCGAGAAGCTCTTTCTCAGGAAAAGAAAAGCGAAAAAAAGGAAAAAAGCAAAGGATATAACTCATAATCAAAGGGAATGAAAACTAAAGAACAAAAAATACAATATAAAAATTGTAAATAAACTGCAATAGGAATTTTTTCTTTTTTTCTTAAACCGAAAAGAACTATAAAAAAGACAGGCAAAAACTTTTAGTCAAAAACAATTGGTCAATCAAAATCCAAGTAAGAAAGATTTATGAGTGAATAAGTTTTCAATGAAATAGTAATAGCAAAAATTGAATAATACCAAAATAAGGAACAAAAACATAAGATAAATAAAAAAAATAAACAAAATCACGATCAAAGTGAGGAAAGCATAATCACGGCAATTTTTGGATAATTTACATAAAACTCGACATGTGAAATTTAATAATAACTGTCATTGTCACATTAAAAAATCAGTTAAAACAAAAATGTGTCATATAAAGACATATATATAGTACCGAAGAGTAAATCACCAAAAAATCAATA